CACACAGTCTGCTGCTGTACATAAAGGATAAGCAGCACATTAATAAAAACTCATGAAATTAAAAAAAGATTATACCACATGTATACAGGAGGACTTGAGGAATACACCTTTTAAGAGGAATCTTAAGGGATGTGAGGACTCTCCCCCGTTTGAAGGGCATGTAAACAAAGACGTCACTAGATGTAGTGTTTTAACCCTGATAGAGACTGTCACCTAAACAAGAACAGGGATCGCTCCGCTAAGAGACATGTGGCAGCCAGGCCTGGCGGGGAAGGTGACAAGGACGCTGCAGGGAGGAACTTAGCAGCGCTCTGGAGGACGTGAAAACTGCTCCGTGGTATTTCGGTACAGCCCCTCCAACCCGCATGAAGAGTGTTGTTCAAAGCATGCTCAGAGAAGGCAGAAGAGACAAGACGACACTTGGCTATCTAAACATTACTCCTATAAATAACAGATGCTATATTCACACCACTACAATGAAGCATCTGAGCACATTAGGAAATGCGTCTTCTCAGGAGTTTGGACAGGGGTCCTAACGGCATCGCTGCCGTTGGGGTGCATGAAGACAGCTCTCCTACAGCACTGCGACAGTCTCCCGCCCAGCACTTCCACAGGTACCAGCCAGCAACCAGCTGCTGCTCCGCGATTCCTTCTGTTGCTTAGCATAGTGTTTCAGAAGAAAAAAAAGTAATTAAAGAGGACAGAGTAGAGGTCGCCTTAGGTATGGACAGAGTAAAACTCTTCATAGACACAGCAACAAAAAAAATGCAGGTTACATTTCATGAAAAACCAAAGAAAAACCCACCCCAAAACTTCCTGCTGTTGGAATGCAAAACCAAAATCTGTTACAGACACGTGTACGCACAGACACACAGGTACGTTTCTGTCCATCCACTAATGCTAGTCCCTCCTATACTGGCTGAGTATATACCTGAGAAACAACATTAGTGTTGAAATATTGCCCTTGAGAAAGCTTGAAAAATGGAGGAGAGCAGGGAGAAAGGGTTGAGAGAGAGCATAAAGAAGCAGCAGTCTCTCCTTTCCAGTTTCCTTCGCATCCTCCACAGCTCAGAACAAGGCCATACACCAGCGTGGACACAGCCTGCTCAGAACAAGACCAAAGGAATATCAGTTCACAGCTCTACAGAACACACTTGTGTCAGTACACCTGGGTTTCAGATTTCAAACCTTGAACCTGAAGAAAGTTGTTGCATTTTCTACAAAGAGACTCCTGTACAAGTGCTATGGGACAGCTGCATTCACGCTCAACGACAACTCCAGCTAGACTACTTGCATCAGTGCTGGCTGCCTGTGGCTATTTGGTTTGATGGCAGAATCGAAAGGCGCTTTAACAACTTGCAGTTAACTTCTCCTCAAAACATACATTAGGCACATGAACAACAACAAAAAAAAAAAACCAAAAAAAACAAGAGCTCAGAATAAATTAGCTTCTCAGCAGAAAAGACACCTGGGTTGCAGCATTTCACTGAGGTTCCAGAGAAGGCCGTACAGACACCTGCATGCTGGAAGGTAATTTTTTCAGCGGCTTGTCAGCAGACTGCTTGCCGCTGGAAGGAGGAGACTGGACTCTGGGATCTAGCTGGGAAGACTTGGACTTGCGACTGGATAGCAGAGAATGTTTGTTGGGTGCGGCATCTTTTGCGACAAGTTTTTCTTTTGCGGTAATGTTGGCATTGGTTTGAGAGGCTGGTGGGACAACACCTTTCTCCAATTTGTCTTCCAGCACATTTCTACTGCCTGACTTGGAACTGCCACTTGCTGTCTTTTTTGAGAGCATCGTTGTCTTTCCCAGGTCTGCAGACCTCCGGGTCTCCTTCTGCCTTAAGGCTGATTTAAAGAAAGACAGTCCTTTCTCTTCTGACTTGCTGTCCCTCTTCAAACCAGAACGCACTCCAACGTTTGGAGACCGCAGGTTGGCCATAGAGGAACTCCGCACATGCTTGCTGTCCATTGCCCTGATGCTGTCACTCCTGGAGTGGCTGATCCGTGGGGAGCTCGTTCTTGAACTGCTGGTAACGCTCGTTTTATCTGACCCCAGACTTATCTTAGAGCCCTCCCTGCTGAGGCTTCGGTCTGAAGTCCGGCTCTTCCCAGCAGAAGAGCCCTTAGTCAATGAGCCTGATGGGGCTTTCTTGGCAGCTATGGAGGATGGAGAAGAACCTGACTTTTGCTTCTGTTGAGCTGATGGGACAGCCACCTCAAGGGGCTTCGTGCTATGGTCCTTCCTAGCCTGAGTGGGAGCAGGAGACCCATGTCGCCCACTGGCCCTAGAGGAGTCAGTCTTACTTCTAGACCGGGAACCTTTCTGGGAACTCTTTAGTGGAGGAGAAGAGTGAGAGACTTTGGTCTCTTGGGTAGATAAGACTGTCCTTCCCTTCCTCAAACTTTTGTCTGGCTCAGAAACTCCCTTGGAGCTGTGAACCTTCTTAGGGGTGCCACCTGCCTTCTCTGCAGCCAGCACTGTCCCACTGGGGACTTTCACCTCCTTCACCGGAGAGCTATCCACAGAATCACTCTGATCAACAAAGGCGATTTGATTGTTGTTATCAAAAGGGTCCAAAGCAGGGTGATTCCTGTCTGGCTGCACAGAGCTTTTACCATACCCATCTGAAAGATCTGAGCTAGATGTCCTTACAACAGACTCTTCCCTGAATGCCCCTTCCATGACAGCCAAGGGGGCTCTGCGAGCTGTCCTGTGCTCTCGCCGACTGCCGTCGCAGGGCTCCAAGTAACTGCTAGAGAGATTTCTAAGGCTGCCGAAGCAAGAGGTGGAGACTTTATCATCAGCAGCCTCCCCAATCTTCTCCAGAGTGGAAGCAGAGGTATGTACAGGGGAATCTCCAGAGAAGCGCGATGGAGAGTTAGAGCGCAACTGCAGTTTTGCAGAAAGCGACCACGAGGGCCTGACACCATTTTCACTCACTGCCAGTGGGCTGGTGACAGAAGATCTAGATGACAAGCTCTGACGCTGGACACTCCTTACAAAGGGACGAGTCGAAAATCCTCCTGCAGAGAAAAGAAAGTGACAACCTCAGTAAGAAAGCCAAGCCTGCAGTCACTTTATCTCACCCATCCACAGACGCTATTTCCGTAAGCAAGTCAGACAGCCCACCTACACCACACTGTATGTCCATCTCTTCATGCCTGCCACAGGGGCAGCTTCTTGCGTAAAAGCTGAGTAAGGAATTCAACAACTGTTATTTGCTAATGCTCACCCAGAAGTAACTGTCTCTGAAGCTTATAACTGAAAATCCAGATTTCCTTCTCATCCCCAAGCAGCAGGAGACCAAACACAGATTCTGTACCTTGGAAGTCCTTGAACCTAGCAATGAGTTCACCAGCTACAATTATACTCCCAGAAATACATTTTTTTGTATGAAAGAATATTTTCCCATACCATCCTGTAAAGGGCAAAGCAGGATTCCTACCTCTTTAGATAAAGCAATGTATTTACAAACACAAAAGTACAAGAATAAGCATTTTAGAAATGCTATGACCATGGCTAGATCTGACAGTTCCACAACACTGCTGCAGGAACATCTCTATACCCACTTCAAAATGCTCAGACTGACCCCTGAAACTCCATATTTTCAAGAGTTACAAGGCATTATGTGGAGAAGCCAGGCAAAGCCAGGAACTGCACAGTTATTTCACCCTCAGTAAGTTTGCAGAGGACACTGAGATGGGTGGGAGTGTGGATCTGCTGGGGGGGAGGAGGGCTCTGCAGAGGGACCTGGCCAGGCTGGAGCCATGGGCCCAGGCCAGTTGGTGAGGGTCAACAAGGCCAAGGGCCGGGTCCTGCCCTGGGGTCACAACAACCCCATGCAACACTACAGGCATGGGGAAGAGGGGCTGGAAAGCTGCCCAGCGGAAAAGGACCAGGAGGTGTTGGTCGACAGGCATCTGAATGTGAGCCAGCCGTGTGGCCAGGTGGCCAAGAGGGCCACCGGCATCCTGGCTTGTATCAGGACAAGGGTGGGCCGAAGGACGGGGG